ACCAAAAATGTGGCAACAGACACTGGTCCTTGAACTGGTTAAGTCAATACATCCTTAACTTTCTTTTAGTGTGTCAAATATATTAAATCATTGCTTAGACGAGCTTGCCAAGACAGGCACTCTTCTCCATCGGACTCACTCAGATATAGACGTTACATTTGCTACAGTTAAACTGACAATTAAACAAAATAATGTGAGCAATACTAAACTGATGAACCCTGTTATCTAAAATGTAGGTTGACTTGGTGTAATTTGAAAAAAAAACGTATTAGTCAGCTACTTCAACTAATGCAGAACTTGCTCAATACTACGATATCTTTGCTGACGGGCCACAGCATAATAGGGAGGCATGATATGAAATTGTGTCTACCATTTAACGACTTTTGTCGTAGCTGCGACTCTGAGGATAAGTAGGAGACTACACTCCAGTATCAGTGCCATAATTTAGCTAGGAGAAGATCAAAAATCTTTAGGGACCCCTTTCTTACCGACCTGACCCACACGACTGAGTCTCCTGCAATATTAAGGACTTGACCAAATTCATAGAACTGCCAGGCTGGTTCTCCTTTATGAAATTGAAAAGTTATTGTCTTTTTAAGCTCAAGTGGGTTTTCTTGGATACACGGCTACTATTCCTACCTACCTTCCTACCACTGTTTATCCATACGTTAGTATATTCCCTTGGATTTAATATTGGTTTACAATTATTCACTCATATTTCATTAGATTAGGTTATTAAAAAGTAATACGAGGGCTGTTCGATAAGTCAGTGATAACTGCACTAAAATGGTTTCTTCTTTTGTTTTGCCTGCTATTGAGCATGTACAAATTTTGGTGGATTCATATAAACGGTGAAAAAAAACCTTACGAGTCTATTTAAAAAAAAAAAAAGCCGAACAATTAATTTGGAGATACTACACTGACATATGGAGCAATTCAAAAGTGGTTTAATGATTTTCAATTTGGTTGAATCAGCACCAAATATAATATGCAGTCAGGAAACCCAATGTAGTAGCAACTTCAGATATGGTAAATATATGACTTATGAAGAAGGATCGCCATAAAAAGTGCACAGGATTATTTAGTAAATTTAGTAAATGTTATAAATTTTTGCAGGGGTGTTTGCATATGAAAAGGTTGTCAGTAATAATTTGCAGCATTGGATCACAGTGGATAAAAATTGGTACTTATATGACAACATTCAAACAATATTTTTCTAACGCAAAAGAATTTTAGTTCTGATTTACCATTTTACTTCGAAAATTAAAGAGCAGATGAAACAGATGACGCCCAGACTTATAACATAACCCCTGTACAAAAAAAAAAGTACAATATAAATGTTTTAAAAACATTTCTTCCGTATGCCGTAATATTGTATTATATGTTTTAAACAGTTTCAACATATTAATAATGTTTAATTATATTTAATACATTTTCAATAAAAACATTAAACCTTTACCACTATACTTTAAAAGAAAAAGGAGCAGATGCAACAGATGTTGTCGCTGACTTTCTCATTTATCCCTGACTTATAACGCAACCCCTGTACAAAGAAAATTCAATACTAATAACTAGAAATTCTGATTATTTTTTAAAACAATCCCATATACCGTAATTTTGTATTATGACTTTTAAACCATTTCAATCCATATATAATGTTAAATATATCTTTAACAATAAACCATAAAGCAAGTATTATCCTTTTTGCAACATTTACTTTGCAGGTTATTTACTTCCATTTGCAGTATTTTTATTCCTCACACTTGTGATGACCACAAACGACAACATCAATTGTATTGCTTCACTTCTCACACTACCGGAAGCAACAATTGTAATACCCGATGAAATGGATAATTGTCCCATTGGATTTTTCCATTGCAACACATCAGTTCAATGCGTGCCTCAACGCTTGAATTGCGATGGTGCAGTAGACTGTGATGATGCGTCCGATGAGTGGAATTGTGTGAATGATGTTGATGCTAAGTTCTGGGATCATTTATTTCGCAAACAACCTTTTGGACGACACGACGATGTGCCAATAGGCACGTGTTGTAAGTATGTGGGTGAAGATAAATAACACATTAAACAAACAGAGTAGATGGAAAATGCCAGAGCAGAAAGCAAATATTAGTAGTTAAGTTTTATTTTCAATATATACAGTTTGATATTTTCAAAAGTTATCATTAAAAATTTGTAAAAGTAGTACACAATTTTTAAATTTATTTTCTTTAATTAAATTTTTAGTGTGGCCAAGCAATAATTTAAGTTGCCCATGTAGAGGCAATGAAATTTTATGCCGTTTTCAACAAATGACTTCAGTTCCTTTGGGCTTACCTATGAACGATGTAGCGACACTGTGAGATTTTTTACAATTTTTATTAATTAAGTTAATTGTAAATAATTTAAAATATTTTTTTCATAATTGCATTATTCTTCGCCGTCACAGTGATTTAACTGGAAACAATTTTACAACGATAGATGAACATTTTTTTCAAAATATACCTGTGATTGAAAGTCTGTAAGTATTAAAAAATTTTGTGTAAGTAAATTACAGAAGTTTATCAACGCTTATGTTTATTGGTTCAAGATCCTTCACAAAAGCTTCAACACAAAATGTATCAATTCGGTCGATTACTTTTCTTAAAATATATTTTTAGAACTATATACATATGTACATCCTATATAAAGAATAAATTTAAATATCACCTATTTTTTACTTTTAAACTTTTGTCACATTTAAAAGCAAAATCATTCATATAAAAAGCAATCACTTTGCCAACATCCCTTTTATGCCTCACTAATTTGTCAATCAATCTTAAAAATATTTAGGTGTAACATTCAATTTCCTAAATTTATTCAATTTATAAAACGTTCTAAGATACATTTTTTGATTATTTTTTGTTACATTTCTTTGTTCTTTTGTTAAATACAAAGCAGTATTTATGCACTTTCATTTATCATATGATATATAATTTTGAATATTGTTTAATTTTAGAAAGCGTATGTGATGAATAATAAAATAAATGTTTAGATATTTGTTAAAGATAAGTATACAGGGTGTTCCATATTAAAGCTACAGAAACTTTAATAAATGAAAAAATTAAGTAGAACAGATATGGGATTAATTTTTAATATGAGGGCTGAATAAAACAAATTATTTTCGGCAAATAAACATTTTTTTTTTCTATATAATCACCTTTTAGTTCGATACATTTAGTCCAGTGTTTTTCTAATTTCCTTATTCCCTCCAAATAATAGGTTTTCTCAAAGCTCTCAAAATACGCGTTTGTTTCGGTAATGACTTCTTCATTCGACTCAAATCTCTTACCGCCCAGCAATTTCTTTAGGTTTGGAAATAGAAAATAGTCGCAGAGGGCTAAATCTGGAGAATATGCTGGATGGGGTAGCAGTTTGTATCCCAATTCGTGGATTTGAGATTGTAATGCTTAATCAGCACACGAAATTCAGTTTTTTCTATTTTCGTAAAAATTCACGAGGTTATCTGCTTTGAACGGCTATCAAAGAACAACTGAACGAGTCACTGATTTATCAAACCGCCCTCGTATTAACTGATATACAAGGTACCAATGAAAGTATATCTAAAAACAACCTTCAATCAGCAGAACCTTCATATGAATCTAAAAAATGACATCCGAATAGTTTAACTCATCATTTTCTTACTTGTCACATATGTACAGTTTGTGAATAGAAAACAAAAATCCTCAAAAAAGAAAACAAAAATTATGAGACAATAACTGTTTTAATTTTAAAAATCATTGGATTAAATGGTTTTCACAGATTAAATGGAAATAACACACTTATTACATCGGAATTGTGAAAATCATAATAAGTGTAAGTCAATGTGTTAAAGTAAGACCTATGGCCTACGAAACATGGCCAACGGGTTCAATAACTCGCATGCAGTACCGTAAGTCATTACATTAAATATAAAATATTTTGATAGAATTGATAGAATTTTAAAAAATAAATTAATGAAAGTTATTAAGACTATATTTAACTTTATCGTTATATATTTATTTTTCTCTGGAAAAATTATAAACGTATATATTTATTTCAGTCGCCCTCCAACCTATGCAGTGATTTGTATTGGCCCGCGATCTTATCTGGTCTAGGCAGCCTGTGTAAAGCATAGAACTTTACCTGCTCACATAAAGCATTTTGAAGATATTGATGTTTCTATAATTGAAGTTTTTTTTAAAGCTAACTTGTCTTTGACACCCTTTATATTGATTAGCATACAATATAAATAGTATCAATTTCTCTTACCACATAAAATCTTAACTTTTTCTTTGACAAAGTAGTAACCTTTTATAAACCTATATATCAGTTTGATATAAAACAATCTGCATATGTTCAAATATAATGCTTATGTATTCTGGTGCAAACATTAATGTTTTTTTATGAATTATTGTAAAGCGAACTTATTTTTTATATTAACATTCAAATTTGTTTTCTATTTATTTTAGAGTATTAAAATTCTGTTCTATTCAAACGATATCGCCATTTGCATTCAAAACACTCAGCGAAAATCCATTAAAAACCATGTAAGTATAATTTCCAATATACTCCAAAATATTATCTTAAATATTATCTGTTTGTAGTAATATGAAAACACTATGCGTTAAATTTATATCTTGCAGATACTTGGACGAAAATAAAATTCAGAGTTTACCAAAAGATATGTTTCCTGCTGGCAATGTCTTAGGAATCCTGTAAGTACTTTTTGCAGTGGTGTACCAAAAATTTTAAGATAGGGGATTGATATGTTGATATGTTTTTATACATATGTATAATCCTTTTGCTTACCTTCTTGAACACTTTTTTTCAAATTCAATTGGTAATTGAAACAGTAGGGAAAGCCATCAATAATCGAAAAATACAATATTAGCAAACAACACATCGTTTCAATTTTTCCTCTTCTGTATTGATTAATTTAAGTGAAGTAAAGGAAGGAACAAGTCCTCCTCAATTAGATAAAAAGGCGAATTGATTCCACAATTCCACGTATTGATGGGTAGGATAATAGTAATAATAGAACCAACGCGAAGCATTGATAAATGCCAGAATCTGCACAACGCTAATGCTGAAAATATTATTAAGTGTGTTAAGTGAGGAGGCCATAGCTTAAGCCTGATTCTGGACAAGCCTGGACACAACAGGTATTCTGGTGCCTTCTCTATGAACTCTCCCTCTGTCTCAGACTGTTCAGTATATAAGAGAAAGAAAATATCACTGTATCTATCAGAAATGAGGTGCACACCTTATTTTCTGAAATAATGATAGAACTATTTAAAGAATAATCGATTTGTAGACAGATAATCTATCCCACTCAATCAATTGACTACACCACTGCCGAGCAGCAAACAAACTTTTATAATATTTTTTGTTTTTTTTTTTGAAAATTCAGAAATTCGCAATGTGAATTTATTTTATAGAACTTATGCAAATGAAACTTTGGAAACAGAAATTTCTACACATTTAATTTCAAAATTATAGAAAAAATTTATTAAATAAAACGTAAAACTTTGTCATAAGTTGGACCGGTAATAATATGTTATGTCGAGGTGGTTGATAGAGCTTATGGTAAATCTACTTTATTTAAACCAACGAGCTTATATGAAAGATGACCCTAGTATGGTAAATTTACTTTATTTAATCCTATGAAGTAGTATGATGTCTCATACATATGGAAGACTTGTATGTGTTTTTGTAAATAAAATAAAATTTAGATATTGACAGACACTTGATTATTTTCTCTGCACGTGACCTGCGATCAGGTGTGGAATTTCAAACCAAAGTTAGCTTAAGTTAGCTTAAGAGATCTTCTGAAATATAGTATTGAACTTTCTTCATCAAGAATTTTATCCTTTTTTCATTATTTTTGTACTGTTTTAAGAGAAAAATTAGAAAATATAAGGAGTTCAGATATTCTCTTATTTAGATAAAGCGACATTTGCTTAAGTTCGCCTCCGCCATATATGTTGATTTCGCTATATGTAGAGATCTTCTGTCATCTTACTATAATAAATTCTAACATACATAAAAAAAAGAAACGGATTAAGGAACATAATTTTAATAATATGTTTTCCATATCATTTTTAGTATTCTCTCAGGGAATCAAATTAATGAGCTGCATAACTACGATTTTGAACATCTCGAAAATCTTGAAGAACTGTAAGTAATGCATACAAACATTTTATAATTATTTCATGTATTTTTGAAATTATTATCTAAAATTTTTTATATTTTATCTTTAAATTTTATTTTCGAATATAAAACAAGTAATTGTTTAAACTTTTAGTGATTTGCGATCGAATCGAATTGAAACTTTTGAGCTTGATGTGTTTAAACCTATGGTGAACTTAGAAGTGCTGTAAGTAATATTTAAATATTACTATTAATATATAATACAAGTACATATGTTCATATTTTACAACTCAAAAACGCTCATTGAGCGAAAACAGTAGTTTCAAACAAAAAATATTAGGGTAGTTTAAAAAAAAGCACATGGCAAAATTTGTGTTATGGGACTTATAAAAAAAACCAGAACACCTTGTGTACAATTTGAAGTACCACGAATCGAAAAACGTGTTAAATCACTTTTTCAAACAACCAAAACACGTTATGCGAATTGAAAAATGGTTTCTAATGGCTTTCTAAATAGTTTCTAAAGAACATCAACACGATATTTAGATGTCGTCATCACGTTAAGACAATTCAAAGAAAAGAATTATTTTAACACGATAGCCATATTATACAATATCACATTATTCAATTACAGAACTTAATGTCCCCAATTAATACTGGAGGATCTACTACACAATGCTATTAAACTTTGAATCTAATTGAGTCAGTGTACTTGAGCACTTTTACTCTCTATTAACTGCGAGGTTTCTTCATAACCCCTCTCTACGCCTTGACTGGATTATTGTTTATCACTTCATGAGACTAAGCAATAATTGATCTCAGATCTGCACACCTTCCCGAGGAACCCGTAACCATTCTGAGATTTTATAACGCGGTGTTAGTAAGTCTGTTAGATTTCGCAAATAATTTCAGGGCTCTATCCTTTATGTATTTTTTGATGGGATCAATCTTGAGGTCCCTGAGGATGTCATTTATCCTAATGTACCATGGTACATTGAAAAGTTTTTTCAGAGCCTGGTTTTGTGCAATTGCTACCTGGCGAATAGTAGTGTTTCAGGCCTTGCTAAACGCTACACATCCATATAGAAGTGATGGTCGAATTATTTGGTTATATAACAGCTTCCTGTTCTTAGCATTGAGATTTATTATGCACAGAAACGATGTGTTTTATTTGTTTCATTCAAATGTATTTATAAATTTTTTCTACGAGTGTTCTGAAGTAAACACTGGTCATCTGTCACCTTTTGTCTGTTCAAAAGTGATGTCTGGTCAAAATAGGCAACTTTTAATCAAATGAATGATTGAGAAATTCTGGTCTTGAAATACCAAAAAAAAAGTGTCATTTCTATATGGGCGTATATTGTGAGGTTCTACTGTATATTTAAATTTCGTAGCATTTCTACATTATTTTTGTCAATAATAAACAACTTGTAACGTTTTTACTATACACGCGAAGTAAAATATTGTACAAAATATTTAAGAAGTGATAACATTGTCATTTCAGTTATCTCAACGAAAATCGTATTATTCGCATCCGTCCTGGGATGTTCCCGTTGCTAAGGAAATTGCATACATTGTCGCTGACGCAGAACAAAATAATTGATATTGAACGCTCCGCATTTACATTTCCCAACTTAAGACACTTGTAAGTACAGGAAGCCACTTTAATAAAAAACGTATAAAATAAAAAGTAATAAGAATAAATAAAAAATAATAAAAATATATAAAAAATTATTAAAATGTTTACAAATATCAACAAAAAATATGTGTTAACTTCAAATTTTCTCATACTTTTTGAACAATGTTTAGTTTGCATGAAACATCTTTCTTTAAAAAAGAAAATCAATTTTTTATTCAAATTTCTACAATTTAATTCACTTCAAGAAAATTTAATACTAAAATTTAAAAAAAATTTTATTTACTTAAAAAAAAATTCTGTTCCGTTTTAGATTTCTTGCAGGCAATCGCTTAACCATATTAAGAAATCAAACATTTTGTTATCTCAACTTATTGCAAGGCCTGTAAGTATATTTGATTTTAAATAAAACATTAAATCATTATAAAAAAATATTGAAATTGATGGAAAGATATATACATTTTTTAGTGTATATAATTTAGAAAAGTAATTTGGTATTTGAACCATTTTAATTATTGTTAAAAAAAATGTCTCTCAACTCCCGTGATTGAAAAGTGAATTGTAAACTACCTTAGCTTAACGACGTATTTTTGGACATACGAGATCTCTTAAGATGCTACTGTATCTGTTCTTTAAGAACATCAGAATTTATTAGATATTTTTTGCGCACTCTACCTTATTCACTGCATGTAAGATGCGTTCAGAGATAAGTAGAATTCTTAATGCCTTATTACAAATATTTATTTTATTTAAATCTAGTTCAAATTTTAAATATAGTTTAACTTCTTCACCGAACTGGTCTTTGAATCACATCATCATGTCGACATGTGATGTATTTGCCAACTTAAAAACAGAGACCGCTTAAATGCTAGTACGATAATTGTAGTTCATTCTGGTCAGGAAAGAGGTATACGAAACTCTCCCTTTGTCTCAGATTGTCCAGCTTTAATTAGCAGTAAGGAAGCGTTTATAGAAAAGTACATTCTTCACCATTTAACGCATTCTTTATCGATGTATCATCAACTGAAATAATATATCGTATAATATATCGATAATAATCTTTTAATACCTAACGTGTTATATTAAGTTGTACAATAAGTTCAACGAACGAAAACAAAAACACGGATTGAAAAGAATACAAATGTGTAGTTCTAATTTTTCGGAATGTGATTTCAATCGCAGATAGCATTTAGAGTTCAATACCAAACTCTTAAAAACATTATCTAAAATAAACTTATATATGGCAAAATCTGGTATAGAAGACAATTCAATGTATACTTAAAACCCGCATTTAAATTTCGGAATGAGGATACTGACAGCAATAAGCAATGTACCTCATATTCATATGTGATCATAACCAATTAAGGGATCATAACCTATGCAACATGAGGGAGCAAGGATTTGTCGGACAATGACCGATTCTTAAACTCATTCGATTATAATGTTTCTGAAGTG